AGAGGAGTCCAAAGGGACTCCTGAACACTGTAAATAGAGGTGGGACTTAGGTTAAGATGTTTATTGTGGATCTTAAGCTAGATTTTTCTGCAAAGTAAAGAAGGAATTTGACGTTAAATCCATGGGGAATTTGATTCCTCGCTGTCACTTCTATAGCTGGCCTGGGGCCCCTCTTCTCTTTAGTTTTAATTCAATTTTCTTCCTCTGTAGGTTATATCTTATGATTGATTTGGTGGTGTGTTACAAATTCTATCACAAGGACTGTTGGAAACTTAGAGGGCTTCCCGATCAAGTAATTGAGTGATTACTAGTTCAATGGATTTAGTAACGAGCGTGCTTTTAAATATAATTTGGTTTTTTATTTCTTTTTTTGGGTTAACATATAGTTAATATGGTTCCTATTCTTTGTGTGTGCCTTGTTTTAATTTTTTTTTTTCTTCTATATTTCTACCTTTTATAATTTTCTGATCAACTGTCTCATCCGCCTTTTCTACTTGCTACTATATTTGTATCACCTTGTTACTTGCTGAACCTTTTCGCATTCTTTGTCTTTCCCTATGATTCTGCCTTTAACCCTCCTACTTCCATCAGCTCCTTTCTGTTCCTCATTTTCAGCTCCCTCAACTCACTCCTTCACCTGAAATGACTGCACCATTTTCATGCCTTATCCTTAGAACCGTTGGCCAGTGACGACTTGTGTATAAACTTGAACATCATCAACTATTGGTTGCCCATTGTTGTGTCTAAAGAAACAAGACAAGAAATGGTCTGGTACTGGCCTTAGAGGAGCCCATTAGTAGACGCTTAAGAAGTGCTTACCTAATTTGTGATTATTTCAGATGGTCCATCTTGATCATGAATGGATCTGTTTGATTAGTTTTCCATATAAAACTATCCATGCTGAGGCTAAGTCCTGTAACTTTGTTCCAACTTCTGACATATATTGTTGGAGAAAGTCTATATGCTCCATTCTTCGAACTTTACATCTTAAGGTCAACAGAACAGCATTGTAGTTTCTTCTCACTTGCCATCATCTCCCAATTTTTTCACCTCTAATTTCACAAATGTGTTTCTTGGTGTTATTGGATAGTTAGGCCCATAATCCTCCTTTGATATTCCGTTGGAATCTATGCCCCCACAACCCAGACATAACTGTTGCCAAGGAATGTGAAACCATAATTCTATTGTATTCTTAAGAAGAATTCAGGTTGATTCCAATCATGATTTCGTGGAGTGCGGGTTTTTTATGAAGATTATCAATAGCATTGAAAGGTTTTCAACTTGGTATCACTGCAAGTACATCCTTGATCTACTGAACTTATTTGAGATTTTTGTTTCTTTTGGAGGTTTCCCAATTTACTAGCGATTAGATTGCCCTTTGGTTGGATAGTGTACAAATTGACGATAATTCATCGCTGATCAACATAGTTTCATTGCAGAAGCATGCACTTGGTGAAACATTGATTACTATTGCATAGTGTTTTATATGTGTTTCTTTTTTATTGAAATGCTAGCTTCTCAAATGCCCTATCATCAATCTTAGCCCTCTTATTTCTCGATATGCAGCATGTGGGCAAATATTTAAAACAATCTGCAAAAGCTTTGGAACATCAGGTTGCAAGGGAGGCAAGATTCTACGGTTCATTAATCAGGTGAACTTGCAGTACATCCTACTGGTTAGAACCAGGGAAATTCACTGCCGACAACTCTTAGGGTGTGTTTGCGTCGTACCACTAAACATGATAAAGTACATATGTTTTCTTTTCTTTTTCTCTTTTTCTTTTATTGATATACACACCATGGATTACTTGTTTTGTTCCATTTCCAGGTTCTATTTATTAAAAGAAAATATGCCGTTAACACCACTGAGGTTCCATAAGAATACCTGTCTTGTGTTCATAATCTAAAGAAAGCAAGAAGGCACATATTCAGTCCCTCTGAACTCACTCAGTATTCCAGTCTTTCTAACCTACTTACTCCATCCAAACCGTTTACTATGCCGATTTATTTTCTTGCTATAGAGCTAATCAACTATTGTCTATTTTATTATTCACCCTCTCACCCCTCTGATAATTGAATAGATTGCAACAAAATTGGAAAGTAAAGCGCCAGCGTGCACTAGCTGCCCCTTCAGGAAGTGAGGGCTTCACATTTGATTTATCTGATATCTCTCTATCAGATCCATTACTTTTTCGAACATCTTCTCTATCTACAGTTCGAATTGAACACGACTCTACTGGAATGCTGGCTGTAACATTGCCTCCAAATTCATGTCATGCATTGTTCTTAGGGTTTCGTGATGGTCCCTCAAGTACTATACCAATCCAGCCTGCTGGCTCCAACATTGATTCTTTAAGGGAAGGGTTTGATTGTGGAGCTAAGAAAGAGACAGCTACTAATGAAGATGTCAATGAATGCCTGAAGGAAACACATGCTTTACTACGTAGTATCCATCGAGCTATCTTTGATGAGCAGGTATCGTTTGTCGTTGTAATGCTAATTTAGAAATTTATCTATCATATTGATTTACTTAAAAGTATCAGTGATAAATATTTCTATTTCATTGGAATGTTGAGAAAATATGATGGATTTGTTTATAGTGTGTTTGGCATCGATTTTGATAATGCAATATTGTGGATTTTGTGTGATACTGCATTGGTGGTCAGCGCTCAGGGTTCAGAAAGCCCAAACCAAATCACTTTATCATGTAAAAACACTGCTTGAAAGCTGCATTTTACATTGTTCCTGAAAAGGGATCCCGACCCCTTTTGTCTAACTGTACGGACACAATTGTACTGTGGCCCTATTGGGATATAATTTTATGAGGTATTTCTTTCACCTGTCGCAAACGGAGCCTAATTACATATCTTCCTTGATATCACTAGAGTTTCCTCATTTCTTATTTTTCCTTGCAACTGGTCTTTTAAAAAATAATATCATCTAGGATTACAAAAAAAATAAAGTCGTCAAATTTACATTAAATACGAGTCACAAAACCTAAGAAAAATCATATGTTTATTGAAATTAAAATTAAATGTCAGGTTTTACTTTTATTCTCCAAGTTTTCTTGTCATCCAATTGTACTTTTTAACAAAGCTTCATAGACCCCCTTAGAAATTACCTTGCCAAGCATACCCAAGAGCAATATTGTCGATGTGATTTTTATTTAATGCAGGTCTTTGATTGGGTAAATCGTGAAGCTTTCAATGGATCTCCTGGAGTTAATGTGACAGGGATGAGAGAGAATTTTCTCCAGTTGAGCTTAAATCCAGAAATCTCTGTTTGTTTGAAATTATTGGCTTCAAACAAGGATGATCAGAGTGAAAGCCAAAATGGCATTCATAATGAAGGCTCTCGGGTGGTATCTGTGGATCTATCTGAGGGGTCCGGAGCTTCGGATGCGAGGCTTAAGAACACCCAAGAAAAGGAGCAAAATTGGCTTCCTGATGCTCTGAGTTGTGAGATTTATCTGCAACAGTTGCTCCTTGAAAATGTATTTGTTAGAGACAGAGAGATACGTGCTCCTGTCAAATGTGGCTCAAATAAAGTGCAAGGATCTATGAAGCCTATAGGTGATGGGTTTGGTTTTTTGGGTCATTTCTGCGTGTCACTCAGCCACAGAATTTTCTCTCACAAAGTACTTGTAGATCTTGAAAATCTGGTATGTGCTCCATTTGGTTCACGCTCTAAGATTTGTCTTCCAACTTAGTTTGAATTTGAACTTTGAACTATAGTTGCATAATGTTTTTTTTGGCAATGACTCTGGAGATGCTAAAAAAGCCACTATTGTTATATAATATCTAGGAAATAACCTAAAATTCAAATATAGTTGTAATTTGTAACAATGATTAAAAAAAACTGCATTTTCTTGTAGATTATGTGCAAATTTTGTTGAAAAGACGATGTCGATTCATTTGCTATTTGACTTTGAGAGATCTGAGTGTTCTTTTTTTACGAGCATGGTGAATTCTTTTGAAGATGCTTTTTAGTTCATTTCCGATGCAGGCAGCAAGAGTTCCATACGTTCACTTATTATCACATCCTACCTGGAACTCTCGAATATCTGCGTGGTCGCTATATATGAAGGTCCCTCAATCTATCATGCACTTGGGTAAAACAAAACCTGAAACATTTGATTTGGAAAAAGGGATCAGGTCACAGTTCTACACTAAAGTTGTTGTGAATGATGAATCCATATGCATTGAAGGAGAAGCTGCACCTAGTGTGGTTGGTCTATTTAGAAGTGATTCCGTGGAGGTTCGTTCAATAAGCGGTTATCATTGTGGCTTGGAGGACCTCACCCCGATGTTGTTGCAACAGGTATGCCTCAACCCTATTAAATTCTTTCAAAATATTTGAGTTTGGAGAAAAATATAAAAAACCAGCCAAATGTCTATGACCAAGTTTCTTTTGTTAGGCACCTTAACATTAATTAAAATGCAAATAGTAGTTCTGTATTTGGGTGAGACAAAATCAGAGGGATGAGGATATACCATCCGTAGTGCCACATGTCCCCATCTACCACTGCGACCCATCACCCTCCCATCTCTCTCCGTCAGCCTGCCCCAGGATCCTCCATCATCTAGACCCCATGCCTCAGTCCAAAAACCCTCCTCAACAAGTCCTGTACACTAGTCCCCCTCCCCCATCCCATCCAACTGTTACAATCAATGCACTGACAGGCATCAATGCGCCCTCTCCACACATTTCTCTCCACAGGCCTCATACCCTTCTCCCACCCATTAAACCCCAAAACCCGTGTTGGTCCTCTTGGCCCCCCCCTTCCCCCACTGAAGACCATCGAAGCTGCCTCATATTCCCACCTCCATATGGTCAATACCCATGCCACATCCATACTGAAGACCCTGGCCTGTAACTACAGCAGTTACTGCTGCCAGCCCACCAACAACCCACTGGTTCTATCATTTCTCACCCAAGTTTCTCCGATGCCGACCATGCCCTCCCTGTCTCGGAAGCAGCACCTGTCACTCTGCTACCTCATCTACGTGGAATCTACGCGGAGCATACTCCTACTTCATCAGGCCTTAGAGCACATTATTGGAGAACAAATGGGGTTGCTGCAGTCAGAATCTTTAGTGGGCTCCTGACTGCCTGCAAACCTACTGCATCTGCTAATGGTAATCATAAACCGAGTCGCCAAATCCCTCAGTTTGCCAGCTTGCTTGAACATTGCAACAGGCCTGCACCAAAATTTATGTGAGATGGGGCCTCAAACCCTCGTGTTGTACCTCATTGCAAAGGAAATCATCCCACGTAGATTGACCCTGCTTGAAGGGGTTTTGGTGCCTGTCTTCTAACCCCCAAGACATGATCTTAAGAGAATCAACCAGTGGGGTAGACAAGTCTTCAAAGCTCCTCAAATTTGATGACAGCATACTTTTTTCCTTTGCAGTCAACAAATTTTGACGATGGCATACTTTTTGCCTTCTTGACTGACAACTGCATAGGAGGCCCACGAGCCCCTAAAGGCTATATGGAGCCAGACTACACTTGAACCATGGAAGCCAAATAGAGGAGCTCTCAGGAATGTGCAGATCTGGCTTTGCATAGAAGGTATTTCTTTTCACGCCTGGTACTTGGAGATACTCAAATTAATCAGCAACAGATGTGGGAGGCTCATGAGTGGTGCAACTGGAAAACTATGGGGTCTGCATTGGCGGGAGGTACTGCACATCCTGATTGTGATCACTAACCCATCCCAATATCCCCAGTCCTGCTGGTTGCTTGTAACAAGTTTATGGTGTTTATCAGTCACGAATATCGTCAGTCCAAAAGGAAACCTAATCCTGCTTTAGAGTGGTTCCCCACGTAAGAGAGCCTGAAAATGCAGAGTAGTACAACACAGTCCATGGTCATTTTCCTCAGGACCAGGAAGGGAGTTGCATATGGTTGTCAGGACCACAAATTGGCAAAACAAAGATGTCAGGCCTGATGCAATTTTGACATGATCCAGGCCTGATGCAATTTCTTCAAGAGTGATGGTTTATACACCCAGTTTTTTTTTGTCACTGCACACTTGTGCCTGCTCCCCGGTGTTCCAGCATCTTATAATTGTTCATTTTTATACTTACATAAACCTTCCAAATAAAGCAACCCCATGGTTAAATGAAAACCTACTTAGTGGCTAAATCCTCAGCGTTGGACCAGTGATTGTTAACATAGGTGGCTTATGAACCAAGAATTCATTATTTATACTTCGCAAATTGATGCAAGGAGATGATACAAAGAGATACTCCTTGATTTATTTATTCATGGCCAGTGTACATGGTCCAGATGCCTTTCTCATAGATCGGTCAGTTTGGTGAGAGGTAGAGAGTCAGAGGCTCATCTTTTGGGAAGGCGGTAGAGAGAGAAGTCCAGAGAGGGAGAATCCTTTTTTTTTTTTTTTGTTCTAAGGAAGGAGAGAGAGAGAGAGAGAGTTTTCTGGTTGTAAGTATGAAATGGACTCGATTCTAACCGGTTGGGTGATTGTGGAGCTACCAAAGATGCTGCAGTGACAAAAATTTAAGGTGCATAAACTAATCCCCTTAGTCAAGGATTCGTTTTGAGTAATGCTGGTAAATGATGATCCAAAATTCTCCAGAAATGGCTGAAAAACAGATATTTATGGTTTGTTTGTCGCGCCCCCCGAAGCATGATTAGTTTGGCATGTTGGGGTAGCATGTTAGTTCTCTTTAGCTGCCACTTTAGAACCCCAAGTGATTGCCCACTCAGAAATGCTGGTTTGTTGAATGAGATGAAAATTTTAAAATACCAAATTTTGTCCCACTTGAAACATAAGCCTTTCGTAGTGCCTGATTTAAGCCTCTCCTCTAATTAAAGTTTGTAAAATTGGAAATCTTATTTAAGAGAAAAAACAGACTACTTTTTTTTTGGGTAAGTAAAACAGAGAAAATACTTAGCTTTTATATTCTCGACTTTTGATTGCTTTTCTTGCTCAATGATATTCATAACAGGTAGCGAGCCAGGTGGTACATTGGATTCATGAGGAGGCCCTTATTGTGGGTATGAAGGTTACTCGAGACTTTTTGAGCCTATGGTTTGAGGTAGAGCAAGGAGATCGGCTTGGTCTTGTCGCTCGTATAGACCAAGACGATCCACACTGTTGCATCGGGTGGTGGTTGGTGTTGGAGGATGCGAGAATGGAGGGCCATCCTGATCTTAGCAATGGAGGCTCATCAGAGAGTAAGAAGTTTTTGGGGCATCTCTCCCTAGAGTCTCTTTATGCAGTTTTAATGGATCTGGTCAGTTTATGCAGTAGCAGTGGGACTTCATGATCTCATGCAACTCTCTCTCTCTCTCTCTCTTAAAGAAGCTCTTCCACTCGTGAACTTCTCTGTGCTCACTTTATATGTGCACTTCTTTCTCTGCGTCCTCTTTTCATAGAAGCACATTTATTCTTGGTTCCTCTCTCATCTCGCTAAGCAAGCCTCTAGTCAATTTATCTTTAGAAGCGCATTTTCTTTCACATCAACGCTCCAAGTGAACTTCTGCCATCAGCCTCTATGGAAGCTCCTTTGAATTTCGGGTCCTTTTATCGCACATCTTCTGCCATCGGCTTCTATGGAAGCTCTTTCGAATTTTGGGTTCCTTTCATCTCTCCATTGACTTTTCTTTTCCCTTTCTCATTTTTCTGCCCCTCTTCCTAGGTCCCACTTTTCCCCATTTTCAGTTTTTCTCTTCCTAAGTACCCACTTTTCGAAGTCAAACCTTTTGTAGTTGATACCCGTTGTATAACATTTCATTGTAATGTGAAGGATGTCGTTCCCACTTTTCGTAGTCAAACCTTTTGTAGTTGATACCTGTTGTATAACATTTCATTGTAATGTGAAGGATGTCGTTCCCATTTTTCGAAGTCGAACCTTTTGTAGTTGATACCTGTTGTATAACATTTCATTGTAACGTGAAGGATGTCGTTCCCAGTCAAAGCTTTTGTAGTTGATACCTGTTGTATGACATTTCATTGTAATGTGAAGGATGTCATTACCACTTTTCGAAGTCAAACCTTTTGTAGTTGATACCTGTTGTATAACATTTCATTGTAATGTGAAGGATGGTGACAGATGCGCCAGGGATTCATAAAAATTTGAGATTAAGAAAAGAAGAAAATTATGGGGGATATGATATTCAAGTGTCAAAAAACACCTCCATGAGGAGCGCAAGAAATTGACAGGGTGCATGCGCGCAACCAATATAGATAAAGCTAGAGAGAGAGAGAGAGTTTCAATATATTACTTATCACCAATTTTATCTACCCAGTTGGTTTTCCAACTTGCCCTTGGGACCATGAGCATGTTACTCTTATTAGGCCTCTTGTGGTCCCTCATTCTTCCCATTATCTTTTGAAAATTTAGGTATCACATTTTCTGTGGCTTTGGAATCCCTTGCCCCCAAGAAATGATTCACACCCATGTACAAAAGCGAGAGCTTTACATGTGACCGCTCCCACATATCTCTTCGCTGTCATATTTGGGTAGATGGTTAGGACGATTTGAGTCACAATATCACAAGTTGGCTATTGAGCGTCGGACTTTGATTCGATGGCTCTAAGAGTCTTCAATTTTTATAAATTATTTTGCAACTAAATTTGTGGCATGCATACATTTGACAGGGGGGTGCATGATGATAATAATTTATATGATAAATCAGAATACCCCTGAAATTAAGGGCCATGTTTGTCATTTAATTTGAGGAAATAATTTTTTTTAGTTGTTGCTAGGTACGCCTCGATAAGACGATGGAATGCCCCAAAAGCTTTTTGTAGAAAAAATATAAAAATCAAATAGCATTTGGTGTGATATTATGATATGAGTAATCCTAACTGTTTATTTAAATCGGCTGAAAAGTAAGGTCACCTACAATGTAGGTAGTCATACAAATATTTCACAATTTATATGTAGATAGTAGAGTCATACAAAGCTTTCCCCTTGCGAAATTCTACTGCTAGGTATTCCTTATTTGCAATTTTAAACTGCCAGATTTATTTTTACTCTGGGAAAATAGATTTGGAGCTCATAAGAGAGTGCAAACTGTTGACCTATGGTCGATTGAAACAAGTAGTCCAAATTACACGTTCATATTTTAAGAAAGTGAATTTGGAGCTCCTAAGATTGTCCGTTGTGATTTAGTGCTTATCGACATAAACAGTCCAAATCGTGTGGTGATATTCAACGTACCATGTTTAAGGCTACAAAATAGTTGTTTTATCTTTTTCCAAAGGTACTAGATCGTGGAGGCCAAGAGACATATTTTGGTGATACATTCAAAATATCGACCGATGCTAAATAAGGCTCGAAAATTTGTCAATTCGAATTAGAATCACTCGATCTGAATCAACTATCAGTAAGCTCGATCTGGATCAAATATCAGTAAGACACTGACATAACTGTTGTAACTGTCAATGAACCAACTGTTAATGAGCCAACCTACAAGCCCCACATTTATTCTATGTTAAATTTGATATTTTTTACATTTAAAGAAGGACGGCACATGACCCACCTTTCCCTTCGTTTGTATTTGCGTATCTTTGATTTTTTAAACAAGCTTATTTAAGGTTGCAGCCCTAAACAATCAAACTAAGGTGCACCTCAAAAATTCACTAAAAGTTTTGATGTTGAAAAACCTTCAAATACTTCCATAAAAATCTTGAGATACATAGACGTTAAAAAAAAAAAATACTTTAAGTCTTGAAAACAATGCAAGAAGATGCGCTCCATAGTTTGATTGATTAAGCCCTTGGCCTTGTACAAACCACACCCTTGATTTTTAAATTTACATTTAAACGCCTTCTTAAACAAGGATAGCCCCCTCCCCTAAAAAAAAGCCTTCTTAAACATTTAATCATTTAACGTTTTCTTAAACAAGATGTACTATTTTTAAGATTTTAAATCTGTTTTTTCTCATGTCCATACATCTTGAAATCGAGATGATCAATTTCAAGATTTTTAGGTCTCAAAACATTCTCTTCTAGTAAATTTTTGTGGTGCGCCTTAAACTTTTTCCCCTAACGATATTTGAATTATATTCTGAAAAGTTATTGACTCACTCTCTCGTTTATTTACACCAATTGGTTTCCAATTAATTTCTTTTCCTTTTATTTCCTAAATGCGCCATGCTTTGTGTGTGGAAATTTATCAAATTACCTACCATAGATGAATAATTTAATGCTTTGCAGGTATCTTTTGCTTTATTTTCAAACCGAGAAGCATTATACTTGTGGAGGGACGCTTTCTTACGTTTGCGTCCCCCTAGGCCTAAACCATACATCCGAGTTGCAAATGGTGGTCCCTTGAAAAAATCACCACTTTTGGTTTTTAAAATATTCTTTTTACATATTAATGTTCTCCATGTTAGAGATTATATATTTTTTAAAAATTAGGGCTAAATTCATTCGAAAAAGGAGTTATTAAGAGGGAGCGCATTTTTACAAATGAATCTAAGGACTTATATAACAGGTACTTTAAAAAAAAAAAAACCAAGGTGTTGAGTTGGAATAGTTGCAAATGAACGTAAAGCTAAATACTTCTTTAACGGGTATTTTGATAAATGGTGCGACTTGTATAGAGCCTAGGCTCTAAACAATCAAATTAGAGCCTACCTTTAAAAAGTGTCGAGAAATTTGATTTCAATATTAGAAATCTTTGTGATAG